AGGCGCCGAGCCAAGAAATACTTTTTATATAAACTATTCCAATGAAAGTAAAGGAGGGTATATTTTCTAGCTTATTTATGAGGACAGCATGACTTTGATACCAAAATAGCAAGAATAATACAAGAAGGAAAAATTACAGGATAAGTTTACTTTTGAACTTAGTTGTAATCAAGCAGTAAATTGAAAAGGAAAATGCGATGTGACCAAAGGGGGTTTATCCAAGAAAGGCATCTTTTTTTTAACCTAAATAATGTAATTTACCATGCCATCAGAGTAAATAGAAAAGTTGTATATTCATCCCAGTAGCTGATTGAAAAAAACCTGACACAAATCAGCATTCATTTATGGGGGAAAAAAAATCATTAGAAAGTAGGACTACAAGGGAATTTCTTTAATATCCCAAAGGATATCTGAAAAAAAAAAAACAACAACAACAAACCTCTGGTAGCAAATACCATAGTTAAAAGTAATATATTTATTTATTTATTTATTATAAATCATAGCTGTGTACATTAATGCAATCATGGGGTACAATGTGCTGGTTTTATATACCATTTGAAATATTTTCATCAAACTACTTAACATACTCTTCACTGCATTTTCAGAGTTATTGTGTTAAGACCTTTATATTCTACACTTAATAAATTTAACATATACCCTTGTAAAATGCACCATAGGTGTGGTCCCACAAATTACCCTCCCTCCACTCATCCTCCGCGCACCCCTCCCCTCCCTCTCCTCTTTCCCCTTCTTCTTAGGCTATAATTTGGTTATAGCTTTCATATGAAAGCTATAAATTGGTTTCATTGTAAGACTGAGTACATTGGATACTTTCTCTTCCATTCTTTAGATACTTTACTAAGAAAAATATGTTCCAGCTCCATCCATGTAAACATGAAAAAAGTTAAAGTCTCCATCTTTTTTAAGGCTGCATAATATTCCATGCTGTATATACACCACATTTTATTAATCCATTTATGGGTCAATGGGCACTTGGGCTTCTTCCATGATTTGGCAATTATGAATTGGGCTGCAATGAGCATTCTGGTGCAAATATCTGTGTTATAAAGTGATTTTTGGTCCTTTGGTTATATAACTAATAGAGGAATTGAAGGATTGAATGGCAGGTCTATTTTTGTGATCTCCAAACATCTTTCCAAAAGGAATATATTACTTGCTTTCCCACCAGCAGTGTAGAAGTGTTCCCTCTTCTCCACATGACGCCAACATCTCTGGTTTGGGGATTTTGTGATGTGGGCTAATCTTACTGGGGTTAGATGATATCTCAAAGTGGCTTTTATTTGCATTTCTCTGGTGATTAAGGATGATGAGCATTTTTTTTTCATGTGTCTGTAGGCCACGTGCCTGTCTTCTTCAGAGAAGTTTCTCTTCAAGTCCCTTGCCCACCTTGAGATGGGATCACTTGTTCTTTTCTTGCTAATATGTTTGAGTTCTCTATGGTTTCTGGTTATTAAATCTTTGTTGGAGACATAACCTTCAAATATCTTCTCCCATTCTGAGGGCTGTCTGCTTGCTTTACTTACTGTGGTTTTGGCTGTGCAGAAGCCTTTTAGTTTGATCAGATCCTAGTAATGTATTCTTGGTGTTGCTTCAATTGCCCAGGGGGGTCTTGCTCGTAAAATACTCTCCCAGGACGATTTCTTCAAATGTTTTCCCTGCACTTTCTTCTAGTATTTTTATAGTTTCATGTCTTAAATTTAAATCTTTAACCCAGTGAGAGTCTATCTTAGTTAATTGTGAAAGGTACGGGTCCAGTTTCAGTCTTCTACAGGTTGCCAGCCAGTTCACCCAGCACCATTTGTTAAATAGGGAATCTTTTCCCCACTGAATGTTTTCAATTGGCTTATAAAAAATCAAATAATGGTAAGTAGCTGGGTTCATCTCTTGATTCCCCATTCTATTCCATACATCTGCCTCTCTGTTTTTGTGCCAGTACCATGCAGTTTTGATCACTACCAATTTATAGTATAATCTGAGATCTGGTAGTGTGATTTCTCCTGTTTTGTTTTTATTTCTGAGTAATGTCTTAGCTATTCAAGGTTTTTTCTGATTCCATATAAAATTAAGTATTACTTTTTTGAGATCTTTAAAGTATGACAGTGGAGCTTTAATAGGGATTGCATACAATTGTATATTGCTTTGGGTAATATGAACATTTTAACAATGTTGATTCTTCCCAGCAATGAGCATGAGATGTTTTTCCATTTGTTAACATTTTCAGCTATTTCTTTTCTCAGAGGTTTATAGTTCTCTTTATAGAGATCTTTCACATCCTTTATTAGATAAACTCCCAAATATTTCATCTTCTTTGGTAGTACTGCGAAAGGAATAGAGTTCTTGACTGTTTTTTCAGTTTGACTATTGTTGGTATATATAAAGGCTACAGATTTATGAGTGTGAATTTTGTAACCTGAGATGCTGCTATATTCCTTGGTCACTTCTAAACATTTTGTAGTAGAATCCCTGGTATTTTCGAGATATACAATTATATCATCTGCAAAGAGTGAAAGTTTGATCTCCTTTGACCCTAAATGGACACCCTTGATCACCTTTTCTTGCCTAACTGCAATGGCTAAGACTTCCATTACAATGTTGAAAAGCAGTGGAGACAATGGGCACCTTTGCCTGGTTCCTAATCTGAGTGGAAATGATTTCAATTTAACTTCACTCAATACGATATTGGATGTGGGTTTTCTATAGATGGCCTCTATCAGTTTAAGAAATGTCCCTTCTATACCAATTTTCCTTAGTGTTCTGATCATAAAAGGATGCTAGATACTTTCAGAAGCTTTTTCTGCATCAATTGAGAGAATCATATGGTCTTTGTTTTTTTATTTTATGTGATGAGTTATATTTATAGATATACATATATTGAACCAGCCTTGAGACCTTGGGATAAAACCCACTTGGTCATGGTGTATAATTTGTTTGGTGTGTTGCTGGATTCTATTTGCTAGGATCTTGTTGGATATTTTTACATTGATATTCATTAGTGACATTCGTCTATAATTTTCTTTTCTTGTTGGGTCTTTTCCTGGTTTGGGGATCAAGGTGATGTTTGCTTCATAGAATGTGTTGGGTTGTATTCTTTCTTTTTCTATACTTTGGAAAAGGTTAAGTAATATAGGTACTAGTGCCTCTT